GGAACTACAATTGTAATTGTCGAACTATTAATTTTGGAGAAGAAAATTGCTCTCAGAAAAGCTACTAGTAACTAGTTAACTGGTTTCCGTCGTTTGAAAAGCTGTCGTAAACATACAATTACAACGTTTCGAAGCTGCTCCAAATCGATCGATTTGTTTTGAATGGTTTCGCGATAGTTTCACGATCGATCGATCGATCCCTTGTAGGCCCTGCGCGATCTGTCGATCGACAGATCGCGCAAGAAAATCGATCGATCATTTTCCAGATCGACAGATCGCGCATAACATCGTCACTTCTTGGGGCGCCGTGCCTGCACCTTTGCTTTTGGGGCGCAGTGCACCGGATGCGCAGTGACCTCTACGATGTACGCCAGAGCTAGGCATCTCTTTTGCCGTTTTGGCTTCATGTTTCCTGTTGCGCTGCCAGCTTTTCTGCTTGAGATTACATGTATACGTGTCGCTCTTTGCTTTTCAGAACTCTTGCAGATTCAGTTTTATTCCACTTTGTAAAGAACAAGATCAAGTAATGGTTGGAAGGGAATCTTGTCTACCATGGCCAGAGGGCTGCAACACTATACATGTATAAAATTATTATAGAGATGTAGAGGTGTAATGAGCATTGCACCGGATTAAACCAGATTCTCCTGGCTGTTGTTGATGGTCTTTTCCTACCGTTGTCCGGAGAATTCGCTGCTGCTGGGCTTTGTATATTGAATGCTACCTGTTTGTTCTGTACATTATCATTCCTGAAATGCATTTCGTGTTTGTCGGCACCATTTCATGTGCACTTACCTACCAGTGCATCGTCACTTCGAGTAATATTTAAAATGTGCACATACTTTATACAATGCACCTATGCGTAATTCTCAAATTTTTGGCTCGTATAGTTAAAAAAGAGAGAGTAAGAAACACCTTCAAAAACGACTGTTGGGAATTCCCTAGTAAAAGAAGAAAATAGCATGTTGCTATGTCAGTTGCTATGTAGTTGCTATGGAAACGGGGTATGTTAAGATAATTGCTTATTTTGACTTCACTGCAAGCTTCCAAAACTGACAACAATCAAAAATGACCTTCTATTAGGTCTCTCCACATGGCACATGCTAAAAGAACAAAATCGCAGAACACCAAATGTGGGAACGAAAATCATGAATTCATGGACTTGGCTCACAATCTATCTAGGCACGTGAAGGAATCACCTAACACGGAACCTGCTGATCCGTGCGTCCTGACTGGGGTGGTGCCCATCAACAAACCTGTGCTCTACGTTGGAAGCATCAAAAGCGGTTGCAACGCTCACTCCATCAGAGACTGGTGCGAAGCGAGGGACGTGGATTGCTCCGTCATGGAGTCGAAATACCTTGGCACATCGTATGCCAGAGTCACTGTGGCTGCAGAACATGAAGAGCGTGTACTAGACAGAGCATTCTGGCCCGAAGCCATCAGCCACTCAGTACGCAAGTGGCGTTTTGCGGACAGCCCCAAAGTGACGAAGCCAGCTTCCAATGCGTAACCTCTCTCCCATCTCTTCCACTTCTACCCCTGCGCTTCTCAACGCTCTTGCCGCACCTTTCTTCCCCCATTCTGTTCAGACTGTATTACTCGAGTTTTAGACAAACATTCACCGATCTGCCCCGTGGTCTCACCAGCTTTCAGTAAGCCGAAGCCATGGGTGACACCTCAGTTATAAAAACGCATACGCACAAGTGACATAACCGGCACACACACTGTACATAACAATATCACCATCAGTCACCAACACCACACAAAGGCCATGCAAGACATTTACAACGAATCGTCAACTGAGGGAGTGCTGTGGGTGGATGCCAGTAACGCATTCAACAGCATAAACCGAGAGGCAGCTCTGCATAACGTTCAGCGCCTCTGTCCAGCACTATCCACCATTCTTCTGAACTCCTATCAGTCGGAGGCACGTCTGTTTGTCGCTGGTGGTGGGGAGATTTCGTCAAAGGTACTACCCAGGGAGACCCGCTGTCCATGGCATTTTATGCATTGGCCACACTCCCCATCATTCGGCATTTGCAGCAGCAACACGACGGCGTTAAAGGGGAAGTGCATCGATTTTTCAAGTAGGGCTCAGATGAAAGACAATTTCATATCGGTTCCGATGGTATATCTCTCGCCTCCGTACGATATTGCAAACTTGCCATATCGCCGATTTTCTGATTGCGTTTCCATGGCGACTACAGGTGATGACGCACATTCTGCTTAGCTCCGTGAGAGAGAAAGTCGATCACTGCAGAATTGTGTCATTTTCAGCTGTCTTATTGTATCCACGAAGTGAAAGAAGTGCTGTGTTCAATGCTGTTAGTGCCGTGAACTGTTTATTAGTAGTCCTCCCCGTTGTGTACTGGGACGTGACACCGACAGGAGAAAGCTGGAGTGCGGAGACGTTAGCTGGCAAGCGAAAATCGTGACGAACCAAGTGCTGAAATCTTGGTTGGGACAAATCAAACGTTCAGCATTTACCTCAACCAAGGACCATGCCGTTTGCTCTTTCCACTTCCTGACGATAGATGCGCTGCCTGCTGGAGACTCTCCTATCTCTCGTAACATATTCTGAAGCCACGTGAGACGACGGGTAACGGTAATTAGCGAACGACATAATGTCGTATGTTTTGAAATGTTTGCTGAACATTTTCGCTGGTGATTTAATTTCGCTGATTTCGCCGCTGGGTATCAGCCGGCCAAAGTAAATCGCAGGCCAAAATTGTCATAGAGGCAAATGATGCGTTATTGAGCCATGGCTGCATGTGAGAGCAACAAATACCAGTCGATTTCTTTTTTGAAAAACCCAATCGGCCAAAGTTAAATGACCGCCAAAGTTTCATTTCGGGATCGGCCAAAGTTTCTCACCGGCCAGATTTGTTGATTTACAGTATACTCTTTTGTAGAACGCAATGATTTGCTATCGCCGAAGCAATAATTATGGTTTTCGCCCACACCGCAGCGCATTAGACCAACTTATGTACGTCATGTCCACTGTAACCCATGCCTTTGAAAATGGATCCATCTGTGATGCTGTCTTCTTGGATTTCTCCAAAGCTTTTGACCGCACGAGCCACTGCCTTATAGCTGCGTGCCTATCCATATGGTGCTCTAAAGCGTCATTAGCATGGTTCACAACATGTTCTTGTGGGTCGCTCCATGTCAGTACGAGTTGGCACAGCGCAATCATGTACTTTGCTGCTGACTGCTGGAGTGCCACAGGGCTCTCATCTTGGTCCCCGTCTGGTTAATCTCTCCATCAATTCGTTGCCTGCCATTCCCAGCACCAGTGATCTTACCCTGTTTGCTAACGACTCCAATATGGTTTGTGTGTCCGCTCCTACCATTCCTATAGCCACTCAAATCAGCTCCCTACAACAGGATGTTGACAGATGCTTACAATGGTCCGAAAAAGCTGAGGCTCTGTTCAACACCACCAAGTGTGTCCACGTACCATTTCGCATACCCATGAGTAAAGTACTAGGTTCTAATTATGGAGCTATCGTGATGCATGATAAGCTACTGTCTCAGCCTTCTTCACATCGACACTTGGGTATCATCAAGAGTACATATGTACTCTTGGTATCATCCTAACCCCATCATTTAATCTTACTGCACACATGCAAAGCATTACCAATCGATTCCATGGCCGCGTATTTCTCTTATGTCATATGTCAAATTTTCTCTCTCACGGTACAACGAATTAACTGTATAAATGCTATGCCCGTCCACTTCTTGAATATGCTGTCCCCATATGGATGTTTTCCCTTAGTGTAACACTGTCAGCAACGCTTGACAAATTGCAGGCTGTAGCTGCAAGAGCTTACCTAAAGAGTAAACGGAAGCGTCGGCCTGACTTGTCCACGCCCAAGGACACACTTAATGAACTTTCCTCCTGGGAATCACTTGCATGGCAGCGGCAAATGTTAGGCCTCGCTTACTTCCACCATGTTTTTTTCCCCGATACCCATCATTGTTGCAACATTTCTCTTTTTCCGTATCCCGTAGTAGTCGCCATCCACCTTTTATGATTCTCCCTAAGTCTGGTACATACTTGTTGTTGTTGATTTTTATTTTACGTCGCAAGGCCAAACTAGCAATGCTGCCCAATTCTATGGAAGCGAATTTCAAAGGGGAGAAAGCTACGGAGAGAGAGAGAGAGAGAGAGAGAGAGAGAGAGAGAGAGAGAGAGAGAGAGAGGGAGAGAGAGAGAGGGAGAGGGAGAGGGAGAGAGGGAGAGAGAGATGAGAGAGAGGGTGAGTGAATGAGAGAGAGAGTATGTGTGTGTGAGAGAGAGAGAGTGTGTGTGTGTATGAGAGAGAGAGAAAGAGAGAGAGGGAGAGAGAGAGGGAGAGAGAGACAGGGGAGAGAGATAGCGAGACACAGAGAGAGAAGCAGTGAGGTTAGGGACATCGGAGGGTGGCGCATCAACGTGTGGTTGGGGGTAGCAGCGAAGAACAAAATAATTACTATTGTAATTTAGTCTGATAATCGATTTCGCAACGGAGGGAACACAAAGAGTGCATAAGTGCACAAGCACGCAGAGAAGAGTAAATACTTCACTAAATCCCCTCTATTTTGTCTCAGTGTTGCCTGGAATAAACTGCCAGAAGAAATCCGCTGTCTGACATCCGCTAGCCGATTTACTGTTGCTGTGCGTAGACACTATCTGCACCACAAGTATTCTGTGCAAGGCATACCAAACTTTTGCAAGTAGCTTCTGCTGTTTCTCTGTGTATAATTTTTATTTTTTCACCTCGTCATGTCACCTTCACTTCCTTTCCCCGGGAGACTTCCTTTGATAGCCATCAATTTGCCTCTGGAGAATAAAATATGAAATAAATAAATACAAACTACTAATATGAACTCGGATGGTGAGCCAATATAGTTATGATGAAGAAAGGAATACATAACTCGTAACATTTTGTTCTTTTCCTTTCTTCATCAAAACTACTAATATTAAGCTATTCTTCACCATCATCAGCAACAAGGACTCCGAAATTCATAAACCAGTTTTTGGGCCTTCTTTTCAAATGAAATACAAGCAACCAGAACCAATGAAACATTGGGATACGTAGCATCACAAGGGCGGTTACCATTACAACTAGGTGATACATTTAGCGAATTTAGCTTGAGAGATGTATTTTTTCTTTCCAAGAAAGTAAAATGGTTATGAAACATTGAGAGAGGGTGAATAGCAGGAACTGCTATATTCCTGACGAAGAAGGGGTAATGAAAAAATGCGAACTTGAAGTGGAAGATCTTAGACGATAGCCTAAGAGAGCACAAGTAGATTGTTTCAGGAGTCATGGCAGCTTGACATACGGGTTGCAGTCGATCATTTTATCAGCTAGGTGAAGATGGTCACATCCAGTGCGTGCAGACAGCCAGGACGGATATGAAGAGTGCGAACAATGACACTGCATAGAGCACACGACGGTGGAGAAGAACAGCGATTTCAACTACCAGGTAATTGTGTCACGTGACCGAGACTACACTGTAGAAGTACATGTAACGAATTTCGCATGACTTCAACTTGCCGACAGATTATCCACCGACGGAACTGCCCACCAGATGTGTGATGGATAACTGCATGCTGCATCATTAGTGTCATTTTAATAGCATGATGGCGTTGAAAATGCGCATAAAGTGCCCATAGGAAAACAGAGACTCACCTTTCAACTGTCCTGGAGCTGAAGACGTGGTGTTGGGACCACTAGTAGTTGCCTGATAAAGGTTACAATAAACAAGAACAAGCGCAAAGTCGGTTATCTAATGTGAATTAAGATGGGTCGATCAACCGAAACAATTTGAATAAAATGTAAAGTTGACATCATTCCCTGACTCTTCGAGTCTTTTGCTTCACCTAGCCTGGCCCCTGACCGTGACAGCTGTCAAATATGCACACATGTTTTAGTATCTTGGTCTGATGTGCTAGTGCAGTTACATGTACTTCAAAGTATAAAAACCTGGATCACACAGAATTCCGCCCAGGGCAACATATAAGTGGATCGTTGGCAAAAGTATTACATGCTGATCATGATTGTATGTCTAGAGCAGTTTCTCGTCCTGTGGTCATTCATTGCTATGACATTTTTTTCAGGCCTCTTTTAGGTCCTATGTGAAAATTGCAAAGTGGCGATCAGAAAAATTAAAAACACATAAATTGACGTTGGTTCTCGTGCCCCAGGAACACATGATGACCCAGGGAACACATGATGACCCAGGGAACACATGATGACCCAGGGAACACATGATGTTCCAGGGAACACATGATGACCCAGGGAACACATGATGACCCAGGGAACACATGATGACCCAGGGAACACATGATGACCCAGGGAACACATGATGACCCAGGGAACACATGATGACCCAGGGATAGGCCCCAGCGGCAAATGCTAGCACCCAAAGTAGCATAAAAGGGCCTTTTTGTGACTCCACACGATGCTAGCATAAACAGCAGTTTTTACCGGCATCCGATACATTTTTGCCAATTTTGGCATTCTGGATGTGGAATTCGGTCTAGATTACACTATGAAACTAGTATTACGGTACTACCACATTGATAATTGCATGCACTACATTCAATTTGTTTGCATTACCTACATGTAGTTGTGACCAAGACCCACATTGCCATTGGTACTTCTTGGTATTTGCTCTTTTGTATTGCAAATATTTCCATAGCAACATGACGCCAACATCGCACCTTTAAAAACTCTTTTTACATACCTGCTTTGTGAGAATTCATAAATAGCACGGAACACCGTTTTCAACCCAAATGTTTCACCCAAATGTTTCACCATTACCATTAATAGGTAGCATAATTCGTGTTGTCTAGCATCCAAACTAGCATCTTTCTGAGTTGTCAGCTAGCATCCCAAAAAACATCTTGGCAACATTTAGCTAGCATCTGCCGCTGGGGCCTACCCAGGGAATACATGATGACCCAGGGAACACATGATGACCCAGGGAACACATGATGACCCAGGGAACACATGATGGCCCAGGGAACACACGATGACCCAGGGAACACATGATGACCCAGGGAACACATGATGACCGAGGGGACACATGATGACCCAGGGAACACATGATGACCCAGGGAACACATGATGACCCAGGGAACACATGATGACCCAGGGAAAACATGATGACCCAGGGAACACTTCAACCTGAAGACCACAGTCATAGTGGTAAATTCAGTACCTCCCTTTTGGGGTGACAGGAAAGATCCAACTACGTTTTACGCCTACCGACAACACGCTTTGGCTTCACCCTCATTACTATTTTGTAACTTTGAAAACTTTTACTTACACCCAACTACATTGTGAAGAAGAGGTTGTTGCGACTTCGGCTTCCTCAGCCTACTCAAGCTCAACTGATGAGGGATGAATTCCCCGAAACACTGTGTATTGTGCAGGGAGTGGTGCTTTCTTCAAGGTTTGCAGAGTGGACGGTTCGATGAACCTGTGCTCTGGATGGCAGTCGTGAGTCAGTCTATTGAGAATTCAAGTCGGCGGGAATAGCGCAGGCGCCCACGTAGGGAGCCACACGCAATTACCCAACTATATGTAAAGAGAAATTGACCTATAAGTTACTAGTTATGAATAACAGTCCTCCAAGGTAACGAGATAATATGGCCCGATATCTGAGACTTTCGACCTTCGGGGCTACGCGACTTTTTTGAGAAAAAGCCAAAACAAATTTGATCGCAAAAAAATCGATTCTGTCACAGCAAACTGCGGAGGCGACAATGGCGGAAGGAAATCGAAGGCGATCCTTGTGTCAGGTTGTTATTGGATTCACAGAAGAAGCCAACCGCGATCTCATCGACGATGATGCATCGTTCTTTGGCGATATCCCCTCCAGCGACGCCAGCGCTTCTGATAGCGCGGATGAAACGATCGCACTTGACACAACGCACTTACCTGTCGGCAGCGACGATGAAGAGGACCTTGATGAGTATGATCAGGGGCAACCGGAGCCGGCCACAGCGCTAGCTGCTGCCGCTGTAGGCAGGGACAAGCAACCAGCTATCAAGCTGTCATCCACCGAGGACATCGAAGCACGCCGGGTCGCTGGCTGCCCTTGCGCAGGGAGTCAAAACTGTTTCCTGAGTGTCCCACCAGAAATTCTAAAATCATCGCGAAATTCTACGGAGGTTCTTGGCGACGATGACCGTCGCGTATTCTTGAGTGGCAAGCTGGATGCTCTGGCTAATCGTGGCGATTCAGGACATCACGGAGCACATCATGCTGCGCGATCTCGAGTGACATACCGGTACGAAGTCGGTGGTGTGAAAACGTGTCAGGCGGTATTTTTGTATGCAAATTCCGCCAGTCGATACGACGTGCATCAAGTGCAGGCACATCTCGACGCAGGCGTTCTGACTCCACCACAGCATGGAAATGTAGGTCGTTCTCCCTGGCATGCTGTGTCTGCGGAGGGTGTAACGCAGGTACGCGATTTCATTCGTAACTACGCTGTGGTGAATGGTCTCCCACAGCCTGCTGCACCCAGGGGGCACAACACTCCAGCACCAGTTTACTTGCCATGCATCACTACAAAGAAGCTGGTGCACCAGAAGTACGTAGATACCGGAGGCACTGTCTCTTACCAGACATTTGTCAAACTATGGTTGAAAGAAACTCCAGATGTATTGATTATGACTCCGAAGGAAGATGTGTGTGGAGAATGTTCAGACATGCAGTCGAAGATCACCCGAGCGAGAACGGAAATTTCCAGACAAAAAACAGTGGAAGAGTTGAAGGCGCACATGGAGAAGGCGAATGTTGCGCGAGATCATTACAGGGCCTGCATTGCGAAGGCAAAGGATGCCATAGCTGAACAGCAAAGCAGTGAGTTGCAAGCGCCAGCATACGAGCACTTCACGTTCGACTTTGCCCAGCAGGCGCACATTCCACACCATGCCCGTGAAGTAGGTGCGTTGTATTTCAAAGTTCCGCGCCGGATCCAGATTTTTGGTGTTGCAGCGGAGGCTGTGCCAGCACAGCACAACTATTTGTTTGACGAAAATGAGACCATCGGAGTTGATGGCAGCAAATGCCATGGGCCAAACTCAGTGGTCTCACTCCTCCATTTCCATCTTCAGCAGCATGCCAAGGGCGCACACGACATCGGTCTGCACGCCGACAATTGCTGCGGACAAAACAAAAACAAAACAGTCGTTGGGTACCTCTGCTGGCGAGTCATTGTGGGGCTCAACGAATCCATCGACCTGTGCTTCATGCGCGTTGGGCACACTCGATGCTTTGTCGATGGCGGCTTTGGGTTGCTGAAGCAGACTTACAGGAAGTCCGACGTCGATACACTTCAGCAGCTAGCTGATGCAACAGATAAATCAGCAGCCTTCAACAAGGCCGTTTTGTTTTCATGGGATTGGAGACAGTGGGATGCATACCTTTCCACTGTTTTCAAGCCCGTGAAAAACATCACGAAATACCAGAATTTCCACTTCTCAGCTGACAAGCCTGGGATGGTGGAGATGTCTGGATCATCGACGGAGGCTGACAAGACCTTGTCGATTATCAAGCCGGATGCTGACATCAGCACATTGAAGACGGAAGTCGTTCCACCTGCCCTGCAACCAGCCGGGATGTCACACGCTCGTGCCGACTACCTTTTCAAGCAGGTTCGTCAGCACTGTCACGAGGAGAACAGAGACATCACCTGCCCTGCTCCTACTGCCGTTGCTGCTGTCGCAGCTACCCTACCAACAGAGTGAAAGCTGGAAAAGAAGTGCTTAGACACTCTATTGTAGTCCTGAACTGTTTTCTGTTATGGTTACAACTTGGATACAAACAGTAGTACCAACCATGCTGAGTTTTCAAAATCAATTCTAAGATGTGCAAATCCAAAATTTGACTCCTACTCATAAAATGCATTGCTACATGGTGAATATTGCTCTGAAATCCGTGAAACGTTGTCAAAATACTCTACACAGGTCAGAAATCATTTTACAATGGAAAAGTCATTTTCACCAAAATAGCCCGGAAGGTCGATTTTCTCAGATATTGGGCCATATACTACTACATAATAGCCTTTTTTTTGCCCATGCCAGAGGCTTAACCCAGCTGAAAGAAAATACATTACTCAAGGGCTGCACTGTTGCAAGACTTCCACATTCTACTAGATAATTTGTGTAACTTAAACAAAAATTCGACGGGTTCGCGTACCAGGCAGGCCAAAAACAAGGAGTCGTACAACTCCCTGGTCAAGAACCACCTTTCCGCTTCTTTGGACGCCACCACCCCACGATCAGGCGTCAGATAAATTGTGGTATCTGTAAATCATTACAACCCATGACTTCCGAGGGCTCTGACCGTTTATTAATGCTGGTAAACCTTTAAAATTTGTTGCTACTCTTCATGTTCTTTATACCTTCTCTTGGCATTCCCATTGAATTTAGGAGAAAGATGAAGCTTGGAAACACGCAAATACCGGTCGGTACTCGCAGTGGCACGCAGAAGCATCACAGTACAGTCAGTAACGTACCTGAAAGTTTCGGAATATCCTTCGAACGTCGAGTGACTGCAGCGGGCGAGCGTTTCCAAAGACGGGTATAGCAGGTGTCTGCGTGGGACTAGTACACAAGAGGCCTGAAAGAGCGTCGAGCTAGAATGCACATGGGAGAAAGAAACGAATTTGCTTCGTGTTTGGATTTGCAACTTTGCAAGGCATTATTAAAATCTCTGTAGATGAGACTGAACAGATAGTCCAATTTTTAAGGATTGTGACGGCTCAAGTGGAACAATTTCAAGACAGCTGGCTATGGATCTACCAATCTGTGGTCAAGCCTTCAAACCTTTCTTCACATAATATAACGTCAGTCCCGGACAAAGATTTCTCACCCGAAGCAATGTTCTGACGACGGGCACCTGGCCCGAAGCATCGTAATAGTGCAGTGCCAACAAACGCAAAAACATCTTCAAGTAAGTGAACCCATTGAGTGACAGAGTGAGTAGGTACTTAGTACCGCGGTCGACATTGAGCAAATATTCCCTTTTCTGTACGCACATGTTACTGAAATAATGAAATACAAGCACATGCAATGTACATCCCTTAGCTTCTACAACCCATCACAATAAACATCACTCCGCTAGCCATGCATGTACATTCGGAGACGTACCGAGGCTGGTAGGACATACTGAACTTGGCTCAAAACCAGCCAAACCACCTGCTCATTACAACCTGGCGTAGTCAGTGATCCCTCGTATGTGTAGAATGACGTGAGGTCCGAAGGCCTCAGTAGTGTGGCGAAGTCCAAGGACTGTACAACACTAAACCCTAAAGCAGCGGCAATGTCGGTATGCACGCACGCACGCATAAGCAAATATATCCACCCTATCCAGCTTAGAGCACGACAGATTTCGTATTCATTTCAGGAAGGGTACTGAATGAACAGGATATGCGGCAGTACTTCGACGGTTTTATACCATGATGGTGTGCAGTGTGGGGTTGATGAGGCATTTTTGTGCAGTTTCGCCACGCCCTGGCTGGGGATCTCTTGAACAGTTGAAGACTATTGTACTGGCATTATTCACTTTATGAAAAGAATATTAGATGGTGAAACACTAGGACCTAAACCAGCGGGAATATTCCCATATCGAGTATTCATCAGTTGTGGGTGTTGAAAACGGAATACAAGTCTAATGAAAAAATTGAATTTGTCACCCCCAGGACTCGAAAATCACCTATCATTCCTTCACCTATCGATTAGTCCGAGGCTTTGGTCTGTCCTTAGATTCAAATTATAAATAGAGGGAGGGACGGTTGCTCATTACTCAAACTCCATCTAGTTTATAACTTGTACGACTCCATGAATAGTTGGAAGGACTCATGAACAATGCTTCAAACGAGAATATGCATGACATTAGATAGAAACACATTACATTAGCACTGTGGTATTCCTTATTTTGGTACTTCTCGTAGTAGTTGAGCACTCCAATCTTAGGGAAGTCCTATTCTGCTTCCGGTACACAGAGCTTACTAGATCTGTCTGGTAAGGAAGGTTCGGGCCTGGTTTGCAGCTGGCTTCGAAATTTTTTTTTTATTGCTCTCAGCCTTGGCCTCACTTTCCCTGTGCTGCGCTGCTGAGTTCAAGAAGGACAAAACAACTCTTTCCGCAGATTCTGTTAGCACTGTGACATACATGCACCATGTACATGTCCTCCAGGGTGGTCAAGGCATCTCAGCATACATTCCATGTTATGATGCAGCTTCTAGGGAGAAAACACGGGCTGGGAGTGGAATGTGCAGCGATGTGTGTTTTATATATCTGCGTGGTCTGTTCCTTATGCCCTATGGACAGGACAGATTCTGGAACACGTCGTCAATTATTGACTTATGGTTTGTATCACGGTTAGCAGATCACTACCATGGTCAGTTGTTACTTCGACCCCGGATGACATCGCCACTGGATCACGTATGACATCGCCACTGGATCACGGATGACGTAGACCTGACAGATGAGTCGAAACTCCCAAAGGTTCTGGTAAACTGGTTCTGTCCCCTATTGCAAACGACAATATGGGTCCACCACCACTGCCAGGAATGCTGATGCACTTGTCGCAGCTAGATAGATCATACGGGTAAACGATAAAGAAATCTGAACGAATTAAAGGTGCATGTGCATGGCAGAACTCACCTGGATAAGTCAAGTTCGAGAAATGGTTCAACATCGTAGTTAGTCCGGGATGCGCGAGTGATGCGTCCGAACCGACCTGTAGTCGGCAATCAAAAGGCACAGAAGTAAACATACTATGAAAAGCCTCTTTGACGAGCAGAAAGTATAAAAAGAAATTGTGAGGAACTCCGGTCTGTTTACCATCGATGTTAAAAATTTAAAATGTAAAATCTAAAGTGTAAAACCTGACGCGGAAGTAAAAAAAGATTGTACCGGTAACCATTATAATACGAATATATTTAGGGATACACGTCCCCCTACGTGAGATGGTACAGAGTGAGGACTATGTACCAACACCCTGCTCGGATTCTCACAAAGCTTGAATTTCGATGCTTTAAAAGAGCCTTGAATTCTCCTTGCTTAGGTGGCAAAGATACAAATGCTGATGGATAGTTTCATTCTCTCCAGCTAAATAGCATTTATCACGCACCAGTATGGAATATCATGATTCACACGATAATTGTCGTGAGCTATTCGTCTGTTAACCAACAGACATTTCTTCAAGACTCTTTTCGGAGAGGATAGTACGCATTAGACAATTTACAAATACTTCGGAACTCCAAGTGACGAAGGAAAGGTTTGCGATGAACCATGAACAGTTTTTGTGATTACTTACTCCGGTATACAAAACTATTTTCATTATGTGTGTTGTATTTCAATCCTCCGCCATGGCAAATTGTGTTTTGTTCGCCAGTAAAAGAGGCTTTGGACAACTCCACCAAAAAATATGAACAGGAGGCATACCGGCAATCATGATAATTATGATAATAAATACAAATCCGTTGATCCCCGAGCTGCAGAGAGTGCTCAATGTCAGAGACAGAGCTTAGTACATAGCAGACTCAGCTGAGGACGTTCAGTTGGTTGTAACTCTGACGTTTATGCCGCTAGGCAATCACTCAGAGTTACAACCAACCTGAACGTCCTCCGCTGAGTCTGCTATGTAATTATGATAATATATAGTTATGCACTTACGTCGAACAACATGCCAATGACGGCCAGAGCGTCACGGTCTCCGCTGGCCAATGCATCCGCGATATTGGGGTAGGTTGCTTTGAAGAACACAACATGGAGCTATAGGGAATAATTCACAAGATAGGATTTCGTGAGATACGTAGCGAGGTAAGCGAATGGCCCCAAAATCATTTTGTGTAGGCACAAAGCAGTTTAAACTGAACTTTCGCCATCAAAAGCACACTTTACCCCAAGAGATAAATACCAACTTGATTTGACTAGGGTTTCTGATCATCCAGCATGATCTTGAACTGATGTAGGCATCATCTTACCTCACCCGCCGTTCTTGAACCATCTACTGCATGCTCGGACGCCGCAAACGTTGAGTTTCCGAAATGGATGTGGAAATTCTGGATCCTGTAGCGTTCTGAACCTAGCGGGCCTCCAGTTAAGTACACTACCGTTGTTCCCTCCGGGTCTGCCTCTGCCGCTGCTCCATTGTTCTCAAAATGAAAGTAAGCAGAGGAAGAGCTGTCAGTAACATTCAGCGGAGGGTAACTCTGGTAGTCTGTGCTCGCTGTTGGGATGTTGATGGGAGACTGCTCCGTTCCCGTTCCGCACGTCTCGAAGCCAGAAAGTGTGCCCCAACTTGCAGGACCTACATATACAACGAACGAGATGACAGAGTACAATGTACAATACAATGCTATCACCATGGCACCTTCGCGTTCAAGTAAGCCGTACAGAGGTAACAACCAAATAGACGAATTTCGCTGTTGCCAATCTCACTCATTCATCAGCCTCGGTTTTCATCGCAGACACCCTACTCGTAGGTTGCGTTATCCAGGCGCTATACTACTGAGTTGGTATGTAACATAGCTGCTGTATGCGACTGTTCACCAATAATTACCTTCTGATGGTGTTTTCTGTGACTATACAACCCTTTAATCTAAGCTGGTGCAAACTCAACTTAGCACCGTCAAGATATCGCCGAAAAAGGATGAATAACATGGACTACTGTGCAGCATCATGACAAACCCTACCAATGTTTGATGACGAGATGTAGCTCCAAGTTTGTTGGCTCGGATCAAAAGCAAATGTGGTAGTAATGGCTGCAGGCAGAAATCATCGGAATGAAAACAAGACAGTGAGGCAGTGCCTGTAGTGAAATGGTTAGTGAGATTGTTGATATTATTATCACAAGAAGAAGCTCACTACATGCGTATCCATCAGGCAAACGATAAAATACCTAAGTATAGTATTGGAATGTAAGATACATAGGAAAGCTCATTATAGTTTCTGCAGACATGCATGAGGGGACAAGGCGCAGACGAGCTGCTTAATTCACACTACCCTTTTATGTATCCCTTCTTCTCCAACAAAATGTAATATTATGACGACTTCCAAAACGACTGATACAACTACATCATCAAATTGTTACTCTATTGTAGATTTCCAAAAAGCTGATCAACGTTTTGGTTCTATGCCGGAAGACAGATCAAGGCAGAACACATCAACTCTCTCAAGGTCAAACCCATCGTTACGTGTCACTATCTCCAATGCGTAAATCCAGTTACAATCTCACATAGTGTTCCTACCGAGTGACAGAAGTACGAGAAGCTCCATGTTTCCCTATGCTAAAGTCCTTGCTCCAATACAACCGATTGTCCAGTTCTTGTAGGTGAAACTGAACTAAGCACGCAAGAAAAGAACGTGTTGGAACTGAAGACACAACCGGCACTGTACAAGGATGATATACTCGTAGCACAGCGAGGCAATCCGGAACACTGCCAGGAACATGTCATTGCCGTGCTTTCCGTGTTGATGCCCTAAAGGCCATGCGTGATGAAATTGGCATACAGGTTGATCCGATCTCTAGGGCCACATGGAATGCAACTCATTGCCTAGATGGTATCTATGACTTCATGAGAAATCCCATCACACAGTTCATGTCAAACTCCGTCTAACTGAGATTTCCGCATCCGCTAAATCCCAACCATCATATCGGATCAATGCGCAGACGCTGCTACTAAAATGGCGGAAGATGAGACAAGCAGACCCTCCACAAAGTGTGTTAAAGTCAGAAAATTCCATTCTCTGCATGCACATGTATGTTACTGTCGTGCCAGGCCACGAGTTGGAAAATTTCTTCCGCCTCCAAACAGGAGTTGAACGTAGGAACGCGGTAATGCGGACGTGCAAACTTTACTTTTTAACGGGTGTGCCACAAGTAAGTTAATGCGATTGGACGGACTGAGACATTCATGAATGTCCCATGTCAGGTAGAGCGCCCAACACTCCACGTCAGGGCACAACAGCCCGCCGATGTGCACGCTAAAGCTGGCTCTTTGGAAAGGACACTCCACAACCTGGCAAATCAAGTTCGAACGAGCCAAGATCCAATGTCTACTTCTCTGCACCAGCCACAATGCACCGGCGCTTCAACCATATAATTTATATTTAGTGAAATCCACATATATGTACATGGAACCAAGAGTACATAACCCCCAAGAATGTGCAAATCCAGCTATGGAGTCTGCAACCGCAGACCTTTCCATCGTGTGACAAACTCGTACACATTATGTGCACCCTATTATACGTGTATCATAGATACAGGGTTGTTCGCAGTCGTGCTTTGAGTTACAACTGTCCTGTGGTCACTTTGCACTGTTTGCCACCGCACCCTAATGCACCATGTGATGTGATGTGAAATTCTGCCGTCTTAGCACTGGATACGTTGTGCAGGCAGTTGCAACGTCTTGGGGTATGTAATCTTGATGTAACTGAGATCCTGAAGCTGCTGGGAGTCATTTTCGGCATAAATCTTGCATTCCACAATTATGTCCACCGGGGCTTGGTCAAAGCAAGCCAGCACTTGGGATTTCTGCGCAGAGCATCACAAGTATTAGACTATCACCACGGGTGTTTATCTGTGTGCAAGGGATTTGGACACCCTATCCCACAGAGTGCTCGCCGCTGGTGGTAATAGGTGCTGCAAAGTCTCACTTAGCCCGATTTTATCGAGTCCAGGAGCAGGCCAAAAAGCAATCTTCATTGGCCCAGGCACTCTGCTCCAGCCCCCTCCTCTTCGCAGGATTGTGGCGGTTTGGTCTACACAAAGCAAAAGTATACAAGCTACAGCACCTTACTAAATACTTGCTCTCCCAAAATCACCTCTCTCATCCCGACACCTGCTGCCCCAAGCCATACACGTACAATAAGGAACCAATACGACGAACGAAACCGCTATCTGCTTCAGTCAACTCATCTCCTGACAGTACCCCCTTACCTGACCTGCTCATTCCCAGTCTGTCTAACTGACAACAGGCACAGCCTCCCCCCCCCCCCCCACCCATGCTATTGCAGGGACCGGGTCCCAAGCACATGATAAAACAATTCAAGACCCAAGGCTGCCGCCACCAGATCCGGAATTATTATTATTATTTATTGCAACATCTCAAGACTCGGCGGAAACACCGGCCAATATTACGAGAGTGGGTGATTGCCAACCACGGCGATAAATATAAATAAGGGGAGGGAAAAAGAAAGAGTAGCAAAACGAACAGCAACAACAACTCCGTAAAGAAAGATAATGTCAAATAAAAACAGTGAAAAACACAGAGACGCAAAAAGGACATGTGGATAATGAGCTATGCATGTCGTAGTAAATAAGGGGCGGCACGGATCTTAAACAGGCGGAGTGAGGTCAGGTCCTTAACTTCTCTGGGTAGAGTGAGCCAAACAGAATAAGCAATAAAGAGAGGGGAGCGCAAAAGAGTGGATGAGTTACACTTAGGGAGTAAGAGCGAGTTTCTAGTTCTTAGAGAAGAGAACCAATTAAAACACATGAGATGAGGTGGGCACAACTCAAGCTTAATAGAATGGACAAGAGAAGCCAGGTGTGCACTGCGTCCATGTGATAACGGGGTTGTGTGAGCGATTTTATAAAGGGCGGATGATGAGAGCATGCGGGGTTGACGGAGGAGAATTTTAAGGATTTTCTTGTGATGTATTTCAAGCTTTGCAGCAGCGGAAGAGGATAACCCAACCCAAGACGTATCTGCATAATCAAATATTGGGCGAAGGTAGGCTAAAAAAAAAAGAAGCTTGCAAGAAAGTGGGAGGTAGGAGCAGTGGGGGGAGAGAATTCCTAAGGATTTACTTGATTTTTTACAGATATAATTCGATGTGAGGTACCCAAGAGAGTGCAGAGTCAATCACAATGCCAAGGTGTTTGTGAGAAGACACTATGTCAATTGGATTTGGAAAGTTGGCATGGATGAGGGTTGTGAACTCCGGCTGGGGCATGATCTTTGTTTTTGATAGATTTGGGGACAACCTCCAGGACGACATCCAGGAAAGAACTTCCTGAATGCCAGCACGGAAGTTGTTTTTCAGGCCAGTGAGGGAAGCTGATGAGGTGAGAAGGGTCGTGTCGTCAGCAAACAGAGACGTTCCAGGGAAGACTGCAGGTAAGTCGTTTACGTAAATTATAAATAGTAGGGGACCAAGAATTGATCCTTGAGGAACGCCCGACAATACTGGCTCTGCAGCCGAGGATGTGCCAAGCACAGTTACGTACTGATAACGCCCAGAGAGATAAGATTTCAGCCAGGAGAGTGGTTGTTTGCGTACCCTGAATGCATGCTCGAGCTTTGCCAAAAGTCCTCGATGCCAGACGGTATCAAAAGCCTTGGCCAAGTCAAAGAAGCAAATGCCAGCAAGCGCTCTGTTATCCCTATGCTGGCACACCTGCTGCACGATGCGGGTCAGTTGAAGAGAGGTGGAGTCGCCTTTACGAAACCCAGATTGTGCGGGACTCAGAAACGGCGAAACATGTCTGTATAAGTGGTCATAAAAGATGCGTTCACATACTTTGGACACGCAGGGAAGAAGAGAGATAGGGCGGTAGTTTGCAGGTTCGTGGCGGGAACCTTTCTTGAATACAGGTATGACTTTCGCTGTTTTCCATGCGGAAGGGAATATGCCCGTGGTAAATGACATGTTGAAAATATGGCACAAAGGGAATGCTATGGATGGTGCCAGGGCCTTGAGGACCCGGTTGGGGATGCCGTCAGGACCAGACGCCTTGCACGTCGGAAGCTTCTTCAGATGACGCCGGACAGTGGCAGTTGTGGTGATGACGGACGTGAAACAAGCTGAGGGCTCCGAGGGGGTGAGAATAGGGGGAATAGAGATCAACGGGTCATCTGGCCGAGTCACAGAGGCAAACTGGGCGTTTAATGCCGTAGCTTTGGCCAAAGGGTCAGCCGCCTGCTGAGTCCCTGTTGTGAGTGACGGAATTTCCCGTGATACGTTTCGAATTCTTGCTTGTCTCACAAACTGGTGAAGCGATGGACGGTGTCTACCCTGCAAAGTAGTTTTCACTGAGCGGATATAAGCTCTGTACTTTGTCCGCGTCAGGGTTTTCACTATATTTCGCTGCTGTTGGTATGCTTGTTTGTTTTGTTGTGTTGAGTACTTCCTAAACATGCTATAGAGATCATATTTCCACTTGATTGCTGTGCGGAGATGGGCATCAACCCAGGGTGGCTGACTGGGCCGTGGGCAGCGGTGAGAATACGGCTGCTTTCCGAATGGCCAGAGGTGCTTCTCAAGGGCACTGTTGAGAATGGAAGAAAAGTGTGAAAGCGCATCATCGACGTTGCTGGCACGCAGGTGCCAGCTCCAGTCAATATCAGAGAGCTCTGCATTCACACTATCCCAGACGGAAGATGGCACGGATTTAAAGTCATATTCCGGCTTTGCAGGAACATTGCTGAAGTGGCTTCGGGGTGCAGCAGCGGGATGTCCGCTTGCAGCAGGTTCCTCACGGTAAACAGCATCAGTAGGCAGTAGGAAATGACTGAGGATCTGTGCGTGGTCAGATGCACCAAGAGGAGCAACAGATGTAACAAAGAGTAGTAGGTGAGGATGATCCGTGAGTACAACGTCAATACACGATGTTGAGCCGTGGGGGGTAAAGTGTGTGGGGAATGTCACCATTTGCTCAAGGCCAAAACAAGAGAAGAGGTTACGGAACTCCCTTCCAGCACGATTCGTGGTGTCACTAGGAGACCAGTCAAAGTGGCGAGCATTCAAGTCTCCTGCAAGTACAATCGCCGAATTGGGGAGGCTAATATTGGACAGACAGTCCTCTAGGAAGTCACTAAATGCCTGGACTTGGGAGATGCTGTCTCCAGGCGGTCTGTAAACAGAGCAGATGATGAGGGGGAGTGAGGGAAGGATCACTGGCTGCAATTCGAGCCAAACCGCCTCCAGTCCACAGCGCTCAAGGTCGAAGCGGCGCTTGATGGACATGAACGATCTGTCAGCTACAAGAGTAGCAACACCGCCATAGCCTCTTGCTGGCAGGTTATCAGAGCTGGTCGTGGGTGGACGGTCCAGGCGGTATGACGTGTAGCCTGGAATTGAGACGTCTATGGCAGCTGTCAGCCACGTTTCACATAGGCAGATTATGTCTGGAGAATACTGCTCACAGACTTGACTAAGCTCAGCTAACTTATTTACTATGGAGCGGCAGTTAAGTGAGAGCACTGAGAAGGATGAAGGTAATTGGGCAGGTTGATTGGGAGTTTTATTAGTTTGTCGTCCAGAATCAGGAAGGAATGGTGGCGCAAGTAGATTGAGCGACGCAATCAGTTCTGTTGAGAGATGCGGTCTGATTTGAAGCGCCATTCACGAACCGAAATGCCACTTGGCCAGAAGTCTAGACTCTGGACCTTCTGCCAATGCTCCTCCGAAATAACAAGGTGGGCATACGCCAGACCAAAATACCGTGCCGCAGATACTGAGCATTTGATTACAGTCACACTACGGTCCTCGCACCATTTAGCGATTGAACTTGCCGAGCAACCGACATCAACACGGCCAACGTAGACGGCCTTGCACTTTAGCCGACTGGCACCCCTTAACCGGTCGTGCTTGCGTGCAGGGCGCTGATAGCAAGATGTCACCGTTGCCTGAAGTGCGGGCTCCGTTACTGAGCCTGCATTCGTCCTGTCTGGTGCAGCCTGGGCAGCCTTGGCACAAAAGCCATCGGTAGCCGGCGCAGCCGCAGCCCTGGAGTAGGAGTGGGGGTGCATCTGCGCCTGGCACGCACCCACAGCCTGCGCGGGCCGTGGATGTACCCGCGGTGAAGGACTGGTACAGACTGGTTGGGTACCGGCCAGGCACTCCTCCAGCTAGGAATGAATGGAGCTGGTCAGTGGGCTACTAGTGAACACGTAAACACGTGTACCATACCATAATACAGTCATGTGCTTCTCAGTATATAGTTCAGCACAGCCTTTTCCTAACACTACTTTACTACATTCCTGATATCTCTTCTCTTTCTACTTTTTCTCATTGCCGAGCCCTCTAACTCCCCCGTACCAATGATTCGTGTTTCCAATAGTAATACCTCCGATCCGTGCTGTTGGTATTGCTGCCTTGTGCAGTCCAACCAAATTGCTGTCCTGCTGTTATCTGCTTCAGTCAGTTAGATTTGTGTTAGTGTTTCTTGCCAACTTAGTGTGCAATCTACACGACAGCGGCCTGCTTTGACAAGCTATTATGAGTTCTTTAATTGCGACCATTTCTTCCGTTTGTGTTTGGGGGCCCGATCACTTAGCGATTGCCAGAGGGATTCCTATAGGGTAAGGATTGAACGTGAAGAATGTGCCAGGCAGCGAGCAAATGGGTGAGCACTTACAGACGCACAGAGCATCGAACACGTTCTGGCACATAGCGAGTGGCGTTTTCATGGATCACAACGGGGACAGTACTGGCATGACGCCGAGTTCTTAGCCTCCATCTAACATGTAGATGACACACTAATGCGATCATTAGACACTGAACATTTAATATGGCAGAAGCAAGCCGAACGGGTCGGACTGCTTGGAAACAGGCTGGCAAGTGGAATGTGGATAGTAGATACATGTAAGTATATTTGAATAATTAATGATTATTGTTGTCCTGTCAAACTGTATCCTTTTGTCGGTCTTAATGTCCTCACAAGCGGCATGTATATGTACGTTTTAAATCTATTGCTGAATAAGATTGGATAATCGGCTCGGACCTAACGGTTCAATAACGGCAATGAAATGAAATATGGGCGCGGATATTCTACTTCGAAATAGCCACGGTAACGTACAGTTTAAAGACGAAATTATAACAAAGAAAAGGACCAAAGAATAGGCATTTCCCAAATCATATTTTTCTTTATGGTCAGCTGAGAGGATGTCCAAATTTGGCCATATCATGAGCCTCAAAGTCAGAACTCGGCTCAAACCAATACTTGAAGTCAACGCTCGCAGTATACACATTTACATGCATGCTTCAGACACACTGAAACATTTTTTTTCAATGCTTACAGCCACTTTTACGGGCAAATCAACACAATGGTTTAAAATGCAATAAATCTTACACTGGATAAGAAATCAGACAAATGCATGTGTCAAATAAAGAATTTCAAACCCAAACCAAAAAACTTCAAATCAATTTGTTATAATTAAAAATAAACTCAATCAATAAACTCAATAAACTCAATTCAAAAAGAGAAAAACAATAACAAAACAAAAAAACGCTGTACTGATTAATAAGAACACCAATAACTTCATCAAGAAAAAAAAAACTTGACAAACAAATAAACACAGTATAGAAGATCAGAAAATTACGTAACAAGGCGAGGCTCACCCACCTCGACGGAAATATCCACAAAATGTTGAGCGGGGAAACCCCGACGAGAACGAGCACCACGGATACAAAGAATACTGGATCTCAGTAAGGAGAAAGAGAGACGGGCACGCAACAGACTCATGACAACAGAGTATTCGCTACCACTGAAACATTGATTTTCGGCGAATTCGGTGCGAAATTGGTAAATTCGGCGCAATTACATATAATGGCGATTCCTTGACAGCCATCGATTTCTGCGTCTTTTCCTGCTGACCGATTTCGGAAATACATGTACCTAAAATCGCAGTCGACTAGTCGCCTTTCGCAACATAATGGTTACAGAAATTGTACTTGCAAGTATGTGCATGCTGAACAAGCACCAAAACATCAATTTTCAGCGAATTCTATGCGAAAATTGCCTACCCGGCAAAACTACTGTGAATTTGTCTTCAAAACTTTTGTTTTGGCACATTTTTCGGCCAGCCGATCTGGGAAGTGCCTACCAAGCAACTACAAGTTACACTAGTATGTACATTTAAAAATACCACCAATTTACTTGATAATCAACTCGCGCGATAACATTCAATCATTGCAGGACACTGACCAAAGGTACAGCCGTTCTACAACTACTAGTAACTGCCAATCTGCTCTTGCATGTCTTGGATGCGAACTCAAAAAGCCTTTCAACTTCGAAGATTCTAAGTAACAGTAATAACAATGGACTTCAAGTGGGAGGGGAAGGTATTATAGCTTCGGGCATGGCAGGTAGGGCTTGCAAGCTCCACGACATGTTAGGCAGAGGGCTGTAAGCCCAAGGGCAAACTTGAAGGCCACTGACAAACAACAACCTACTGTATTAGGACCTACATGTATCTGTCTTCCAAAAACGTTTTTTAAACAGAAGGTATTATGAAGTAGTGGTTGCGACTTCGGCGATGATTTGTAAGAAATGGTTTGCTCCCCACACCGGAGCTCGCGCTATTCCGCCGACTTTACTTGACACTTGACTGACTCACGACTGCCATCCAGAGCACACGAGAAGTCCATCGAACCTTCGACTCGGCAAACCTGCAAGAAAGCACCACTCCCTGCTCAATACACAGTGTTTCGGGGAATTCACCCCTCATCAGTTGAGCTTGAGTAGGCTGAGGAAGATTGTGCCTGAAGAGCACCAAACGTCGAAGGTTCGATGGACTTCTCGTGTGCTCTGGATGGCAGTCGTGAGTCAGTCAAGTGTCAAGTAAAGTCGGCGGAATAGCGCGAGCTCCGGTGTGGGGAGCAAACCATTTCTTACAAATCATCGCCGAAGTCGCAACCACTACTTCGTACTGTTGTGCCCAGCGCGGGCTTGCGACTAGTTGGTTTGGAGGTGACAGCGTTGCGAATGACCGAGGGTCCTCGACGTCTGTCTCACCGTCCAGGAGCGACACTGACTCACGCTGCTATCTGGTGTTCACGAGGTGTTTGTCGCGCTTGAAACGGAGCGTCTCTGTAAGTTTGTATCCCTGGTGATGTTTGTGCCTGGAGAGCACTATATAAGTGGTGCTCTTCAGGCACAATCTTCCTCAGCCTACTCAAGCTCAACTGATGAGGGGTGAATTCCCCGAAACGCTGTGTATTGAGCAGGGAGTGGTGCTTTCTTGCAGGTTTGCCGAGTCGAAGGTTCGATGGACTTCTCGTGTGCTCTGGATGGCAGTCGTGAGTCAGTCAAGTGTCAAGTAAAGTCGGCGGAATAGCGCGAGCTCCGGTGTGGGGAGCAAACCATTTCTTACAAATCATCGCCGAAGTCGCAACCACTGCTTCGTACTGTTGTGCCCAGCGCGGGCTTGCGACTAGTTGGTTTGGAGGTGACAGCGTTGCGAATGACCGAGGGTCCTCGACGTCTGTCTCACCGTCCAGGAGCGACACTGACTCACGCTGCTATCTGGTGTTCACGAGGTGTTTGTCGCGCTTGAAACGGAGCGTCTCTGTAAGTTTGTATCCCTGGTGATGTTTGTGCCTGGAGAGCACTATATAAGTGGTGCTCTTCAGGCACAATCTTCCTCAGCCTACTCAAGCTCAACTGATGAGGGGTGAATTCCCCGAAACACTGTGTATTGAGCAGGGAGTGGTGCTTTCTTGCAGGTTTGCCGAGTCGAAGGTTCGATGGACTTCTCGTGTGCTCTGGATGGCAGTCGTGACACAGTCAAGTGTCAAGTAAAGTCGGCGGAATAGCGCGAGCTCCGGTGTGGGGAGCAAACCATTTCTTACAGAAGGTATTATTCCACTTGTATTGTATCAATCAACACAAACGACATTAAAAAAAAACCCCGTGGCCGTCCACCATTGCGGTGGATAGATACGATTCGGCACGACCTGAAGGCAGCGGATCTCTCCGTGGAAAGCGCTCTCCAAGCTGCAGGAGATAGACTAACTTGGCTTGACACTGTTGACAGATGCGTCGACTCTGCTCCTGTCTAACAGGTTCAGGGAGGATGCGAGCTGTGTTTATTATTATTATTGAAGCTCATGAAGCACCTATTTTCTCAAACCTAAGTTATTGTATGTTCTTGCGAAAGGCCCGCATTATCCTTCTTTGATCACTTTTTTGAGGGTCAGATCTAATCGCCTTCCATAGCTTTAGGAACTTCAACCGCAAATTGAGCCATTTCTGACATCCCAATTTAATCGTCAAGTAGGAACTAGGCATTGGCAGATAATGCTCGAAAAGGTGGCAGATTCTGCTCGAAAAGCAGTGAAATTGGCAGAACCATACAAACCTTATGGCGGGCAATTCCTCGAATTCTGCTCCATTTCTTTATCCCCTTACCAAACATGCATGAAATGTACCAGAAAAAGTACCGAATTCTGCCAATTTTTCTGCCGGCAAAATCCGCATAATTATGCCTAGTAGGAACAGGATATCGGTCTGGCGAATACGCACCATATTTATTGTTCAATTCGTAATGCAAGCAAAAGTATAAGTAGTATAAGATTACGAAATGCAGTACAAACCTCTGAGATAATGTGCTACACTTGAAACACATGCACTATTGGCATTACGTGTACTTTACATACATGCATATGTGGCACGGCCGTACATTCGTTTTATATTATGGAATTGAAGCACCAAAATGAGTAAACGGAGAAAAATTTCAACAAAAGGAAACAACGCGTGGAATAGAATTTCGAAATGCAGTGCAAACCTTGGTGGTAATTTGCTACACTTGAAACACATCTACTAGTGGCATTACGTGTACTTCACATACTTGTAGATCTGCATGCATTAAACATTTAGATGACGCTCAGTTATCAGGCCGTGGAAAAAAGCCAGGATTATACCTAAGTGGCTCGCACCTAGCACTGAACTGCTTCACGGTCAAATGGCAGAGCCCATTTTAACCCCAAACGTTTCTAGACCCAGAACTAAAATGCATGACTGCCAGTATAGAGAGGATGGGCTGAGTTACACGACTGCCTAGACGCTGGCCACGATGAAAGAGAGGAGCATCACGAATAGCGATACTGTGCAGCAAACACAACGGTCGAGAGCACCACAAACAGTTGAATTTTTACATTCGACTTGAAACTTCAACATAATAATTATTCTTTCTGGTCGATCCTAACACGGAAAGGGGATTTAGAACAGGTTTTCGGAAACGTGCAAGTCTTTCATGTATACCACACCAACCCTGAGGACACGTTCATGCATTATAACAACACTACATCAGCCATTCTCTAATGATATTAATTATAATCATTAAAATATATCATGCCATGCACTTTGCATTTCTGCGGACCAGTGTACTCAAAGCCACTCCAGCCATTCATTATTCTCAATCTTCACTGATGAGACCTTAGTGGTCGAAATAGCGCTGTATGGAGAAATTTTATTTGTCATTATCTACAATTTGTAGCCATGGTGCTGGTGTGATGAAGTCGGCCAGATAGCGCATGTGGTGAAGGTGGAATTGCTCCATTGGTGCGTATCATTATTGGAAATAACAATACTTACTGTTCATGAGTCCGGAGCCTGAGGTGGTGGAAGCCATTGTTGGATTCTGTGCAACAGAAATCACATCGAGGCATAAGCAATGAATGCAGTCACGTACATGTACATGTATATCCATGAGGATCAAAGTATCGACATGATTATCTGCAAGCGCCTTAATATTGCAGCTTCCAACTGCACCAGCTGACAATGAACAGCTGGAATTCGTACTAAGTCTAGACCCAAGAAAAATACATTTTCCAACAGCCAGATTTAAACCAGGCCCGAACGCACATAATACACATATACAACAAGAATAGGAGGATGAAAAAGTGTTTTTACTCGGACTAAGCGATCATCCGACCACACACGAACGTGTAGAATAACAGGACGTTGGAAAAGGAAGGTAAGGCATCAGTACACGTGGAATCACATGGAGCATTCACTAACCTGGAAGTTCTGATAGATAGTGCGGGAATTGAGTGGCTGTAGTGGGCGAGTGTTTCCGATGATTCCCACTGGTGGTTGAGTTCGATTGGTGGTCAAGAGACTGGACAGTGAATCGATCTGGGAGAAGTGAGAGAATTGACATAGGCACGCAAGGTTAAAGAAAACCTGTTGGCTGGTACTGCACTATAATACACACCTCTGCAAATACTGTTGATATGCCTCCATAATTATTTACAATATTACTCCCAACAAAAACCGATGCTATTGCTTCTCATTTTCCATGAACATAATTTACAAGTCTCGTTTTGATTTTCATGAAAGAGACTCCATCCATCTGGAATTCTGTCCCTCTCGCCCTCTCTTTAACTCTCTATCGGTCTTTCTATCGCCATTTCCTTCTATTTTCTATCGGTTCTTCATTGTATCCCTATTTACCTACCTTATTATTACTATTTTACGGTTCTCGTCAGACTCGGCTAGAGGGCGAGTTTCCCGCATCCGTAGGAACGCCACTACCCTTCAAGGATCAAGGCGCAGATGAAGTTCCTAAAGCGATGGGAGGTGAGTAGATCAGCTCACCAGCAAGTGGTGAAAGACCGAAAATCCTATTCACTGCATCCATGTTTTCCTCGTGCCAGGCAACGAGTTCACAATTAACTGTGGGTCGCAGCACGGCGGGAAAAAATGTCCGCTTCCAAGCAGGACTTGAACCTGGTCCCCTCCGTTTCTTATTCACGATCTTAGACCATCCCTCTATGCCTGCCTGCTAGCTATGGATGCCATGATTATTTATTTTATAGTTTTGTCTCGACTAAATAGATTCTCCGAACATGGGGGTGTGTATGTATGAGGGCTCTCGTGTATATTATTTCTGCGAATGTGTGTATGTACTTGTGAGGACAAGTATTCACTTAAATGTGGGGCTTTGAATAAAACAAGTCGACAGACTTGTGAGGACACCTACCACTGTTGGAGGATAGTATTGTATCTGGCTCATCACCAACCAGACAACCTGCTCGTTGCAGCTTGGCGTAGTCAAAGATCCGTTGTAGGTATAAAACGTAGAAACGTCCTCAGGCCGCAGCACAGTAGAGAAATCGAGTTGCTCCGTGGTTGTATCACCTGCAGCACACAGGAAAGCGATAATGTTTTTAATTTTTTTAAACTATGTTCACATGACCTGCTCAAAAAGAATAATGAAAACAATGGTACGGAGGCTAGGGCAAACGTGACAACTAAGGAGCAGGCGCTGCACCAAGACGCGGCAGTGCTGGTTGGGTATTGATGGCTCTGCCGACCTGAGGTCTCCGCATCACGGCCAAAAACACACGGAATGACAAGAAAAAGATAGAGCTGCCAAACATGTTCATGTATGTAGAAACCTCTCCCCTGTCTCTCTCCTGTCTCTCCCCTGTCTCTCTCCTTCTCACTCTATCCAGCATCCGGAAGAGACGATCATAATAAGTTATTTCGTTGGAAAGTGTACCCAGTAAAAAGACACAAACTCACATCATTCCTGAAGATTGTGTCCTCAGAAATTATACATGTGTGAAGTGTATGTGTGTGCTGGGCCAGGTGCTGTGTTCGGTTGTTTGTGTTTGAGTTTGTGAACGAGGCTGGTGCACATGTGCTTGTTTGTGTGAGTAAGTGTATGTGTGATCCGCAGCCTACTACACTGTATATGGAAGTGTTGAGTACAAAAAGGGTGATACTCCCAAGGCACAATGGACAACGAGCACGAGTAGGCTCTAATTTTATTAGAGAGAGACGGAGACAAAGACGAACCGGAAACGACTACATCATGGAAGAGCGAGCGAGATCGATTGAGGGAGAATGCAGGATAACAGGTCTGGGTAGCCATGGCAAATATGGTCGCGCAAGTAGCTACCCAGGCCAACGGAACAAAAGGTGATTACGAGTTTACACGGGGTACATGCAGGCCAGCTTGGGAAAAGTAGATTGTACGGGAGGAGGTACCTGTATTGTAACAGAATGCTGACTTTCTCATGGTGCATAGTGACGACCAGGGAGTAGTATTGTACTACTCCCTGGTGGCGACAATAATCACTGTCGATGAATTGAGTGTATCACAGCTGTCTATACTATTGTTTTTGATTAGCTGACCAAAAAGTGGCAAACCCTCATCTTAAAACTATCAAGCTTCATTCTTGTAATGGTGACTTTGGATAACCTTATGCCACACCCTTCTCCATCACCCACTGCTACCAGATGATATTTTCCAAAATCTTTATCATCCCATGCCTGTGCCCAATGAGCTTATTGACAGGTTCACGTACCTGGGTAAGTCAGCGGAGCAAAAAAGTTCAATATCGATACAATGCTGGGATGTGCATGGGATACATCCAAGCTGGTCTGCAGGCCGGAGTCAAACAACACACGCAAAACATGGTGATTATAATTTTATGGAACATTGCACGGAGCCGGGAAAATACTATACATTATTGTTTTTGAGGTGTGTAAAATGTACTTCAGTACATGTACATGGCTCCATGCAACTGGAATACTAAAATGTCCACTAGCTAGAAAGGATGCATGCTTCAGCATTACATACCATGCGTGAAGACGTTTTGGGGAGTGCGGCCTCGGCCACCGCCGCTACTACAACTGTAACTTACTACAATCAACATCCGCTACTACCAACAGCAACACCTCAGTTGTGGATGATTGCATACGTTTCTAAATGGATAGCACAAAATGCAACTTGAGTGGTCCACCATTTCTTATTGTCTCACCCAATGCTTATCAACAATTGTGCAATTTTAGCTGACACTAATATTGCTGACTATTTGCTGTATACAGGAATCTGTTGATAGGCATATTCATAACGTCAAACAATATGATTGTATTTGGGAAGAGCACATTGACTCACACTGAACAGAATTCCGATGACGGCCAGAGCATCTCTATCTCCGCTGTCCAGAGCAGCCGAGATATTCGCATAGATGTTGTTGTAGAAGACGAAGTGAATCTAAAGACATGAATGACACGAGAGTTCGGTCTATCTAGAGATCCATTTATTATATAGACAGGGTTTTGAAATATAAAGAACTCTTCCTCTCCTCTCCTCCATGCGCTCTCACAGCCGACTCACTGCTACCCTCAGTAGCCATTACACACACCAACCAAGGAAGGGTTGCAGGTAGATACTGAAATTCCTCCTGACAGCTGTTTCGCCTTCATAAGGCTCATCAGAGAAGGTGATATTGAATAGGATGATATCAGGTGGAGATGGTCAGATTTATACTACAAAACATGGGCGCAAGATTACGGGCAAAGTGTGAGAATGAGAAGTTACAATTCTCCAGCAACACAGTGCCAGGGGTTCCAAGAAAATGGCAGGTGAGTAATCCAATCACAAGCTGCTAACCTCTCTAGCAACACAGTGCCAGGGGTTCCAAGAAAATGTCAGGTTAGAAATCCAATCACAAGCTGCTAACATTAATTATCTAACGGCTAGGTGATAGTCCTTGGTTGGTGTGTGTAATGGCTACTGAGGGTAGCAGTGAGTCGGCTGTGAGAGCGCATGGAGGAGAGGAGAGGAGGAGTTCTTTACATTTTATTGGCCGAATAGTACCGTTCACCATTTGAAAGGGTTTTGAAATAGTTAAACATTAAGGCATCAGCTTTCGGTCTATTATCTTCAAACTCCACACGGCTGGATGCGCTGAGCGGCTGCACTGTTTCCGAACTGCTGCACTGTTTCCGAACGCATGTAGTTGTGTTGAATTTGAAGCCCTAGGGTTGTCTAAAAGGAACTGTAATAAATCTTCGTGATCAAGCAGTGCTTGCAAATTGACTATTAGGGTCACATACATGTCAGCGGTTTGTATCTTACATTTGCCACAAACAATTCACTATGCAATAATGCTATCACATTTTTGTACAGAAAAGCCCTGGAAGCGAACAGGAATCCAACACGTTACAGGAAGCGACTGGCAAGTCCTGTACGATCATACAATCATGCTCTCTTCTGAGGTATGATCATGAGATTTCGTGTTTCAATTTAATGTCCTTTTCAGCCATTTGCCGTATGGCGACAAGAGCCCTATACCTCAGTGTCGATGTCTAGATCTGTCAGAATCGCCTAATGTACAGTGTCCCATTGAACGGTGTGGTTCATCCGAACGGGGAGATCATCAAATAGATATGCGACCATGTCATTCATAACTCAGCGTTTCGCATTCAACACCATACCCCATCATAACGTACTGTTTTTATCTTACCTCGGACGATGTCCTCATGTTGTCGAATGCATGCTCCGACGCCTCGTACGTAGAGTTGCCATAGTGGAGATGGAAATTGTGCAGCCTGTATTGTCTGTCACCTAGCGGACCGCCGGTCAGGTAATTGATGTTAGATGCGTCAGGAAGCCCAATTGGACCAATGCCATCATTCTCCAGGCGAAAGGTACCTGTACCAGAGTTGCTTGTCACATTGAGTGGAGGGTAGCTCCGATACGTTGCACTGGATGCTTGGATGTTGATAGGCGACTGCTCCGTTCCAGTGCCGCACCCCTCGAAACCCTGGATATTACCCCAGTTAGCAGGACCTGGAACGAGTGCGTGGTGTGAAACCAGTCAATACAGTAGACAAAGGCCTCTTACTGTAAACAGACCTGTTCATCAGAGGGATATGCCGACAAGCCAGCACCAGCACAACAATGTTTTCAGATTTTCAAGATGTGAGCACCACTAGAAACCTACCAATGTTGGAAGATTCGTCGTAATTCCAATTAGATCCAGGACTGGCGGCTTGCACGCAGGCAATAGCTGCATGTCAGATGAGAAGGAACAGTGAAAAAGACAGATAAGAGAAGTAATAGCAACAGTGTATGCGCGCCGCCTGCTAATCAGAGGCCTTGTCCCTTCACTGAATCTTTTCTTATAAATTCATCTCATCGACTGGTCTCGTCAATTTGATTCAGGGTGAGGTAGGCCGAATTTGTAAAGTTGTTTCTATATCCCTTTCCCTCTGGATGTCTACCGGTCTCTCTGTCTGTCTCACTCTTTGCCTGTCTATCTTTCTTTCTTTCTTAGCACAAACCATTGGTTATAGGAGAAGCCTTGGATCTAGAATGCAGCGCACTCATTTACACACGAATATAATACACAGAGTAAGAAATAAGCGAGCAGAGTGTACCACCAGTCGCCTGAAGATCGCCAAGAGCGTGACACTTTGAACTGTAACCATAATATTCGTCTCTCCGTTCGGTGTAGTACGAAATACCTGTATGAAGCTATCCTTGCCAGCTGGCCAAGTTTACCTATCGCACTTCGTGTCGGATTTCGTGTGCTAGTACCGCAATTTAATATCGCTTGGCACTCATTTTGCGCACAAAGTGGCGAGGATCCTGTATTGGACCAAGCAAGCGGTGCTTTCCTGAAATTTCATTGCTTGAAAATCAATGCCGGTTCTGACAAGTCAATTCCCAAAGTACAAAGGAATTCCCAGGAGCGGCAGATGCTTGCAAGCTCATCATACTTCAAAGCTTACAACGCCTAGTAGTTGTTGATTGACTTTCTTTCAATCTAGAGTATTTAGCGCGCGATGGCACTTGAAGTGATAGATGTCTCTCTTGGCTGAACTTTCTCTAGACAACCTAACTCATCGTCTACGACATAGGTCATAGGATAGAGAAAAAGGGAAATACTTAGGCGCGGCACATTGTCAAGCAGTACTGATGTTTGGAAGCAAAAGGGCTAAAGAGGCTGGAGAGGTCATTTTGCATATTCAGATCTCGTCTTCTTGAGAATGCCTCACGGATGCATTGTTTTAGATGCATTTCTCGCACTGAACGTCACAAACACTCCCCAGCATTGCGTAGAAGAATATCGTCCTATACACTGAATAGATCTTTACAAGCCAAGAACATGTTGGGAGAGGGGCTGATTAGATATACATGACCTATTGACTGAATCTGCTGGCTTTGGAGGGGTGTTCCCAGGCAACTGTAGACTGTAGTGTAGTGGGTCTCCCTAGTGTGCAGTGTGGAATGGCGGAGTTCACACTTCTTATCCTATGGCTATTGAGTCAAGGTTGATGCTAATGTCCCTTGTCGGATACAAGTACTCTAAGTAACAATGCTGAGTTAGATCTCAGGCATTTCAGGAGTTGGTGAGAGATGCAAGGGAAATGTATATTACCATTAATCAGTGCTGGCTGGTACCAATAGCAGACAACGTACGTCCTGCTCCGTAATGCTAAACCAATACCCTAGAAACCATAGTCTAAGTGGGCAATCGGTAGAGCCTTTGTCCATCTTAGTTCTGCATCTCTTTCACCTCGGACATTGTCACTCTGTACCTTTCCCTGGAGGGGGCCATTGTAGTGTTCCTTTCAGAACGCCAGGCCCTAATGACCAATCAAGAACGGAGTTGGTCCCTTGCTCAACTGTTACTAGCTATCGAGTCCCTTGCACTCAAAGTAATCATCAGTCCTGACGTAGCCCCTATTGCCTGGGGTCCCCAGGTGCAAATCCATCAGGCCAGCGGCAGCTTACAATCACCTAATATACCTGCAGTTTGTTTTACCCAGGCAATGGTATAGAATTGCAATCCTCGATAGGGTAATGATTTGGATATACACGTACATATTTTAGCACAAGCAATCATGAAGCACAGTGGTCTATACAGAGCTCGGGTTTTGTTGCACGGAGTGATGACCATGTGTTATGGATTCTAAGTAGCCATCCCTCCACTAACGAGCATCTTCAATCTCATCACCTTCTTAGATATGTCGATCTCGCATAGTTCCACATAGCTTCGCTGCACTCCAGAGTCTACTGACCTTTTCGTGTGGTAAAACTACACATTACTTATAACTGTGTATCCTTCTCAACTCTCTCACTCTTTCTCTTTATCTCCCCTGCCTCTATATCAAACTCTCGCCTGGCCTTTTTCACCATGAAAACACATTGCCCTCTACTCTGGGACTTGAAAATCTCCAATTACATGTACCAATACGGTAGCAGTACGGTAGCAGTACGGTAGCAGGACGGTAGCAGGACGGTAGCAGGACGGTAGCGGATTGTTGAGTTCTCAATTTCCAGTACATGGTCTTCGTTTCGCTAAAGGACTTTGATAAAGTGCATTCAACTACGCCTTAATCTCTTGGTTGTGGCTGGGTAGTATCACCCATTTGATTCCTTGATAGATTTCGGACGCGCGACTTTGTTCAATACATGTGAAACGAATGAACATACATGCAACACAACAGGACTCAAGTAGGCTGCGTTCATGCACGGCGCAGCGACTTGGTTGGAAATCCTCGTGCAAACCACTAGCAACAAGTAGGCGTTCACACAGGAAAGGCAGTTGCATGCCCCATGGACCTACAGAGTGGCCCCCGTGACCAATTATCCATGGTGAGGCGCGGAGAATTTGAATTTGCGCCCATATACATGGACATGTAGCTGCACATATCTTACGCGAGTGTCAATGTGTTGAAAATATTCTAGGTCCGTTCCTGAATACACTGCTTCGCAACACTCCCAACAGGACGGTAACTGGGAGTTTTCTCCAGATATAGTGGTACAGATTCCAGTCTGTCCTTGGACTTGAAGTTGCTGTTCTTTTCTGCCTCAAATTTCAGATATTATTGCGCATAATAACCTCGCGACTATAGGCAGCTGCATCGCGCACAAAGTCGACTGGTGATCTTTTCATCGTACTAGGCGTCTGTAGTGTTTCACAGCGTCATCGTTTACTTCTTGACCTACAACCGAACCTTCAAATGAAAACAAAAGTCTGGACAATCTCGGACAGCTCCTCCAATAGATTGGCAACAACACATGTTTGGACACTTCAAAGAGCATGACGCGTGCCGGTACACGTGTTTTTGTACAGTGTATGAATGCAGCCGGCTACCATCTGTGGTATACTAGGACGCTCTCTATCCCATTGGACCCTCCTGCCGTGCTAAGTAGAGGGATCAGAATTCTTTGACTGGACACCCATTCTTTCACCTGAGACCACCAATATTTTGGCGAAGAACTCACGTCATGAGGACAGCCAACCATGCACCGCATCCCACCTGGTTTTCCGGTCACACAGCGAATATGCAGAGCCAGCACTGTAGCATTGAAGCTGATACAAATAAGGTTGGAACTTGCCACTTCCTACTATCCACCAGAAGGCCACTTTGACTCGGATGATCGAGAACCTTGCTACACGAGTGACACGTGCTACGTGCTTGGAGGATCACATCTAGTCAGGTCTGAAGAACAAATGATAATTTGAAACACTGAAAAAAGAAACCCGCTGTTACTCACCCAGTGACGTGACAATGATGATCTTGACCTCCATGATTTGATTTTCCGCACCGTCGTCTTGCCGAGAATTCCTTGCTCGAAGTCCGGATAGGAAGAGGAACTCGACAGTTCGGGTATCAGAGAAGGAACAACTCGTGAACACGCTATCCGTGTTCCATCAATTTATACCTCGTCTTCGGAAGGCGGGATTGCAGTACCGTGAGCAGGACATCGCCTGAGCGGGAGACGTACGTGCGCGAAGACAATTCTTCTGCAGTTCTCGGTTTAAGTGCCTCTCAGTTTAGGCGCCACACTGCACCCATCAGAAGCATTATGTCTCTGCACAGGGTAGACATGGTACCAGCTCAGTTAACAAGGAAGGGATACAGATAGAAGGCAACGACAAACACTAACTTGCTTCTCCTACTATGGCTAGATGTTGGTCTGCGAGATCAAGCACACGGTGGAACGCCTCGGGACGATATCATAAGCTAATCAAGTACTTATATAAAACCATGGTGGGAATGCCTTTCTTTTGTATCTTATTATTGGTCGCTGAAACACAATACCGATAGCAAAGGTGTGCGCCCTCAGCACAAGCATCTCGATTATTTACTGTAGCTACTCAGAGCAAGTACTAGTACAAGTATGCACGAGAAGGTTATAATTATTGCAGTATCCGCAGTGATCATAGCTTACGAAGCAGTATATGTAGCGGGAATGCACATGCATATGGCCTGACTCCGCTATGGAAACGCACACTATTAGCTCACTCAAGACACCCAGTGGGTTTTCCTAAAGTAGGCCTTCGTAAATACACTGTAGACGGCCATCAACGCAAATCTAACGGAACGGAGGAGAGGGAACTAGAGTCACTCGTACCCATTCGATCTGGTCTATGAGGGTTAATGAAATATTGTAATCCTATTGTTCTCGAGAATCGTTAGAGCATCTTTCACAAAAGAATACAATGTCCTCTAGTAATCTCTCTGATTGCTTCGTATCGTGGCGCAGCTGGAGCCGCATTTCATCTGGAACAATTAGTAGAACCCCTGTCGTGGGGATCAAGCAAATGTGCGAACGCTCTTGATGACGCTGTTGTAGATGCACTTGAGCGCACGGCTTCCTTTGTGCTAAAAGGTTATGGTACAGATTACGTGATGTGTTGGAATAAAAAAGTGCGCAGCACCACACCCTCCCACGCTCTGTCACACACTTACACGCAGACACACAGGCACACACACACCACATACGTACACACAGAGATGCTCAATCACATGGGCACTCACAGGCCAACTTGTGGCCATGTGTGTGTATGTTTTTGTTGCCAAAATGTTTCTACATACTTGTACATGTAGTTCAAAACGTGCTCATCCGTGTACACACATTTTTGAGAGAGTTGGACAAGCCTTGATTTTTAAACTACGACTTCCCCGCCAAAGCGTGTTGTTGCCTTCAGCGTGAAAGCCAGCTTCAACAAACATCATGTCCCACTGATCGAATTGTGCTTTGTGCCTTTTCGATGGTCTCGTGTTTCACCCTTGTGACTTGTTTTATTAAAAGCCCCACGTTGACGTTTACGTTTACGTGAATAATAGCAAGAAGGTGCATGAGAGGAGCTAGAGAGAAAAGGGAAACCAAGGTGTTTTGGTAACTGCGTTCATCATCATTATTATACACTGCGATGCTCCACTTCTTGAACCAGTTGGAGCTCCGCTGAGCAAGATCCTACAGTGCGGTGCGTTTAAAATAACACAAAGTGATGAAGAATACAGGCATAAAGCCAGAATATCGGCAAAGAAGAATTTGCTTTGGCCGTTGATGTATAAGTATTGTCTTGCTCGCTCATGTAGATCTACATGTACATGTAGATGAACATGTAGTGCGTTGGTAATCTGATGGTTTTAGCCACTGTCGATAGTGAATTGTAATTTCTCTAGGAGAAGAGCCGGCCACACACCTGTGGTTTTTTTTTAAATTCGGAAACGTCTCAATTTCTGCAATGCAAAACAAGCTCACAAGAAGTGTTGTGCGAAAGGAAATATAAATTTTACAGATGCTTATTGTGCGTGAGGATGTGACGCAGCGAGCCATAAGTTCAATACTCTCCTGACAAAGCTGTAGTCAGGAGGAGCAGATCATGGTCACTGGAGAAAAGGAAAGCTAGGGTTATACACCTAGCAGACAGTGACATATGAACCTGTGAGACTATGTGATAGAGAGAGAGAGAGAGAGAGAGAGAGAGAGAGAGAGAGAGAGAGAGAGAGGGGAGAGAGATGGAAAGAGAGATAGAGAGAGAGAGAGAGAGTCATCTCTGAGTCTAGATCTCAAACAAGGAGTGGAAGCAGAGAAGGTACGCAAAGAGATTTGAATGACAGAGGTCACGTACCAGAGCTCTTTTACAGGTTTTTAACTTGATAATTGTGGGGGCCTTCAAAGAGGTAGAAAAAGCCGATTATGGATTCGAAATCCAGATGTGAATAACAACCCCACGTCTGGCCCGATCGCGCAGGTCGGTCCTTGTCAGGTGTGACTTGGATGGTGTAGTGAAGCGGCAGAATGTTCAGGCGCCAAATAGTGGTTCTCACCACAAATCTGGACTAGGTTGATTGATTCTAGTGCGACAAGCTTCAATTTTTGCCCAATTTTCTATTTAAAAAAAAAAAAGGATTTTACCGAGAGGCCCTGAGCGTGTCGATAGGATCTCCAACTCAGAGAGCTTTCATGTTCGGGAAAGAGTAAAACAAAAGAAAAATGCAATAAAATAAGAAAAGCAATTCCAAAGTCAAGTGGTTTGGTATGCCATCGGTGTGTTGAGTGCTTGCGCAGGAAATATTTGAATTCGCGAAGGCGGGTTATAGGAGTGAGAAGTGGCGAGAAAAAGTTCCATAGAATGCTGGCTTTGAGGCGAGAGAATAGGGCGAAGCCTTCTCAGTATACATACGAAATGTTGAGACACTGGAGAAGGAATGTTTCGGGGTTCTCTTGTTTGAGCAGGCAGCCCAGGCAGGCATAGTGGGATGGCCGAAGACCATTATTGAGAAACCTAAGGTACCAGGTGCAAGTCCTGCTTGGAAGCGGAAGGAGTTTTTCCGGCCGTGCTGCAAACCACAGTTCATTGGGAATTCGTGGCCTGGCACGAGGAAAACATGGATGCAGTGAATGGGATTTTCGGTTTTTGATCACTTGCTGATGAGCTGATCTACTCACCTCCCACCGCTTTAGTAGCTGCATCTGCGCCTTGATACTTGAAGGGTGGTGGCGTTCCTACGAATGCGGAAAACAGGGCTTCCAGGGGAGTGTCACGCGAACCATGATTTTTTTAAATTTTAGTTCGAACTCAAGTGATGATTGTCACCGGGATGGTGATGGGTATTTTCATGAAACTAGCCATTGATTGACATGTCCCTGACAGTTCGTTCATCAGTGAAAGGTGTTCTGCGTCGGAATGAGCGGAGGGATTTAAAAGCACGGGAATTGTTAAAATACAGGCAATGAAGTCGCAAAACAGGGAAGTGTCTGGGTCCGCCAGTTGACCTTTTTCCTGCAGCAGAGACGTGTGGAACGACTAAGGACATAACATTCTATAATGGTATGCCACCTCAAATCAACTGAACGGGAGCGAGGGATTTATCAACAGCCATGTAAATGTACTGTTATCAGTGACTTGTGACGCCTGGGCTTGAGGTGGCTGCCAACGAGCACTTTGGAGACTTGGCTATTGTTGTGAAGACGGATGGTGTTCGTTACCTTGGTGCTGGGCTGGGCACCTCCGCTTTCTGTCGTGATTTTGCTATTCAGCGTGCGGATGAGTGGGTGCAAAAGCTGAATGTTCTAAAAGAATTTGCGGCTGTTGAGCCTCATGCGGCTTATGCTGCGATGACACATGGTTTAAGGCACAAATGGACATACTTGTTTCGGGCTATGGATTTGGGTGAGGAGGTACTTGCTCCTGTGGAGACTTGCCTCTCTCAGTTTTTTTTGCCAGTTGTTGTGGGGCAACCCGCATTGTCTGGCGTTGATCGGAGGGTGTTGAGACTTCGGCTTCAACTTCGACTTCGGCTTGGTGGGATGGATATCCCGTATTTTGTTGCTGTGCCTGCGCACCAACGGCGGCAGTCTCGCCACATTTTGGAGCCTCTAGTTCTGGGTATTGTGGGTGGCTACTTTGCATGTGCCCTCTCGACCTGCCGCCTCTCCGGGTCACACGAGTGTAGTGTCTGAGAGTGACCACGTTGCCACTACTCCTGTGGCAATGATAGTGGACGCCGTGCGGGAGCGTAAGGCCCACACCCATGCGCAGCAAATTAGGGAAGCTGGGGCTGCGTCGAGCGCGGTTGCTGAAATGTTGTGTGATCGGGACAGGAGGCGTATTCTCGAACTATCAGAGAAGTGTGCCTCGTCCTGGCTAGCGGTATTACCTATCGGGAGACATGGTTTTAGTTTTTCACGAAGAGACTTCGAGGACGCTGTCGCGTTGCGATATGGTTGACCTTTGCAGTGTACGCCTCAGTCCTGTACATGTATATGCGGACATGAGTTTTCGGTCGAGTACCAACTTTGTTGTAGTCGTGGGGGTTTCCTACCCAACGGCATAATGAAGTTCGTGATCTCCTGGCGGAAGAGCTCACAATGGTTTGGTCCGCGGTTGGTACGGAACCGACGCTCGCACCTCTAGCTGGCGAGCGTTTTCGTTTTCGAACAGCGAACGTTATTGAGGAGGCCAGACTCGATGTGAGCGCTCGGGGGTTTTGGAGCCGTGGGGAGGAGGCTTTTCTATGTAAGGAATTTTGCCCAGATGCCCCTTCCTATCGCTCCAAATCTCTCAGCGCTCTCTACAGGCAACATGAGGATTCTAAGTGCCGTGAATATGAGGAGAGAGTTGTCAATGTAGAGCGTGGTTCTTTCACCCCTCTAGTGTTCGGTAGTCATGGTGGTTGCAGTCCGTTGTGCACTGTTTTTTTTAAACGTCTTTGTCGCTTACAATGTGAGTCTTCTGGTAGCGAATACTCTGTTATCATGAGTCTGCTGCTATGGTGTTCACGAGGTGTTTGTCGCGCTGGAAACGGCGCGTCTCTGTAAGTTTGTATCCCTGGTGATGTTTGTGCCTGGAGAGCACTATATAAGTGGTGCTCTTCAGGCACAACCTTCCTCAGCCTACTCAAGCTCACCTGATGAGGGGTGAATTCTCCGAAATACTGTGTGTTGAGCAGGGAGTGGTGCTTTCTTGCAGGTTTGCCGAGTGGACGGTTCGATGGACTTCTCGTTTGCTCTG